TTAGTTCGTCCAGGATGACCTTGGTGAGACGGAGTCGGCCTTCAGAAGGCACCCAGGACGCCAGCCCGCTGTTGGCCAGCAGCTTGGCCACCTGGCGGCACAGCGGCGCCACCCTCAGCTTTGCCAGAGACACGGTTTGCACTCTCGAGACCTGCGGGCTGCGCTTCTGAGGCTCTGGGGGCGTCACCCTGCGGGGTAAGAGTGACAGCGGGCTCAGCAACTGGTGATAAAACCGCTGTAACTCGGACTCTACCTTCGGGGGATCCATCTTAGCGCAGGCGGAGCCCTCCGTCCGGGCAGAGGACGCCAAATGGTTACTAAGGTAACCAGGGCCCGAAGGCCCGAGTGCGCCTGCGTAGCCAGTGCCCGCCGCTCCGGAGTCGTCGGGCCAGGCCCAAGCGTGCGCACGCGCCAGGAGGCGGGGCAGAGTGTGGTTCCCCGGGGCTCCGTCCCTCGCGGCGTTGCGCCGAGTTGGCCTGTGGACTTGAGTGGTTGCGTTCCGCCAGGTGGTGTGAGCAGGACCAGGATGGCTTCGGACTCCGGGGACAGTGGGACCCTGTGCACGGTGAGAGCGGAGCTTCGAGTGGATCCTCGCCCGGCACAGCCGCAGCCCCTGGGGTGATCGTTATCTTGGGAAGCCTGAAAGCTGGCATTTGGGGCAGCGACTGTGACCACTGAACGCGAGGGTAGCAAGGCCCCTGGCTTGAGCGTTGCTGGGTGAAACCAGGGTCCTAGAATGATCAGGAGAGGCGACGAAGAAGGGGCTTTAGCCGGGCTTGGTGGTGCACGCCTGTAATCCCAGCGAGTCGGAGGCAGAGACGGGAGGATCGCAAGTTCAAGACCAGCCCCAGCAGCTAAGCTGGATCTTGTCTCGAGATAAAAAAAAAAATTAAAAAGTGGGTTGGGAATGTAACTCAGTAGTTAAGCGTCCCTGGGTTCAATCCCCAGGACCCCTCCCCCCCGCCAAAAAAAAAAAAGACTCGAAGAAGGGTCAAATGAGGCATGACTCCAGGTCGTGGAGTGATTACAGTGTAGGTCAGGTGGTGAAATATGGTCAGGCTAGATAATAGGTCCCCAGTCCTCATCGGCCGGTCTCTGCGTCCCTTGCAGTTGGAGTTCGCGGTACAGATGACCTGCCAGAGCTGTGTGGAAGCGGTGCGCAAGTCCCTGCAAGGGGTAGCAGGTAAGAGCTGGATAAACCTTTCTGGTCCCTTAGGAAGAACCAGGCTAGTGTGTTAGTCCAGCCCTACTTCCATTTTACAGATGCAGAAATGGATACCCAGAGGGTGAAAGGAATATTCTTAGGCACACGGAGACCCAGAGGCAGAGCCTAGCATACAGGTCTGGAGTTTATCCTGTCAGAGCCCTCTAAAGGCTCTAACTGCCAGAGCCTCCCATTTCCTGGAGTGAGGAGCTAGTCAGAGTACAGCTCCTCCTAATGAGGGAGTTCCCTGAAGCTCAGGCTGTTCTTGCTTAGTCAACAGTCCTGACAAAGCAAACTGCAACCTTGGCCCTGGTGCATTTTTAAAAAGCCAGCCGGTCTGGAGTTGACTTGGCACAATCAGAAAGATTTGAAGGCAGAGCCACTGGCATGTCCCTGGGAACAGGCTTCCTTTGATTCTGTTAAATGTTCTTCCAGCCATTCTGTAGGTATGGGCCAGACACTGGGAGGCTTTTAGAGAGAAAGGTCACCACTGTGCTTTGGTAAAGATGAGCATGTAAGCCTTGCTCAGGTGGCATTTACAGAACAGGAAAAATGGTTCTGAGAGAGAAGGAGATGAGGTAGGTTCTGAAGCCAGGAAAATGGTAGCCCTGCATCCTGCCTAGGTTGGCAGTGTGTGTTGTAGTTAGCAGGGTGCACTCCAGAATCAGAGCTGTTTAGGTTCAAATCCATTATTTGCCACTTACTGGAGACTTCATACATGTGACTTTTTGTGTCTATATTTCTGCAGTGTTTAAATGGGGATGATAGCAGAAGTTACCCTGAAGGATCATTATAAAGAGTAAATTAGCTAATACCTGTAAAGTACTTTAGCAAAGTCTTGGCCAGGTAGTAAGAGCCCAGAAAATCTCAGGGGATTATTAGAGGAAGGGCTTACAGGTGGTGATCTGCTTGGAGGGAGGTGTGAGGGAACAGTTTTTGTTTGTTTTTGCAAAGTGCTGGGATCAAACCCAGGGCCTCATGCATGCTAGGCAAGTGCTTTACCACTGAGCTACATCCTCAACCCCTACAGGGCAGATCTTGAAGATGAGTTTGCTTAGGTTCCTTTTTTGGGATGTCAGGTGAGGGTCTGATGGAAATTGAGCCTTTCTACTCAGAGCAGAGTGTCTGAGCATGGCTTTTCCAGGACACAGTGCCCTCCATTTCCTATAAAACATTCCTGCTGGGAAAGTAGACAGCTGGAGTTTTTGTTAGATAGAGGGCTGTGTTCGGCCCTCAGCAGGTTTTTTTAGGTACCAGAAAGAGACATCTGGTGACCCTGTGTTTTCTGGTCTGGGTAACTTCAACCAGCTTGGGTTTCTCATGGCCTGGGCAGGGGAATCACAGTCTCCAGAATACAGAGAGAGAGAATGTTGCTTGGCCTTGGGAAGGAGCGCTTTGCTCTTCCCACAGGGGTGAGTCTAAGGAACTCAGCTCCTTGAGCTCCTATCACTTGGTCTGGAGTTCCTGTGGTCTCTCTTTTTTCCTTCTAGGCCCTGGGCTAACCAAAGCCTGGCCTAGTCACATTCCGAGGTTCACCAGCCAAAGCGAACTTCTGCCTGGCTGGATAATGAGACTTCTGGTGCAGACTTGGGTCAGAAATTAAAAAGGGACATAGCTACAGGAGCTTTAGAAGCAGAGAATCAGCTCTTCTTGGAAGACCCCAGGGTCTGGAAACACATCTAGGCCAGGCCTTTATCTGCTGTTTGTTCAAAACACACTTGGGCCTGTGTACTAAGGCAAGCCCCCCTCACCTTTCCCTCGCCTATACAAGAAGCCAGCTTTGAGCTCCCTTTTGCCTCTATTTCCCCTCTAGTATTTTTTCCTTGTTAAAGTCAAGGTGATTTTTTAAAAGTCATAACTAGATAATATGCATTAGTTACTTGAGGCTCTCTTCATGAGTATATAAGAATCCTTCTGCAGACTTATGTATACAAGACAATTGCAGGGACTTCAAGGGGAATGAGGACTCCATAGGCTCTTTTTCTGACACATTGACTTTTGAACTTGACCCCTGTGATCCACACAGAGCTTCTGCCCTCACAGAGCTAGCAGCCTAGAGAATAAAACAGAGGATTATAATCAATGCAGAGTGAGTTTCTCAGGGGAAGTATGAGCTGCTGTAGGACAGGTATGTAAGGGCTCAGCCCAGCCTGGAAGTGACCGGCTGTTTCTTGGGGTGAGCCAAGTATCTGGAGCAAGGCTGCCTGGGATTCCCAGTTCCATAACTTACCACAGTGTGACTTCAAGCAAGTTTCTTCATCTCTCTGTGCCTTAGTGTCCTTACCTGAAAATAGGAATAATAGCACCTAATTCACAGGGTTACTCTAGGTATCAAATGAGTCAATACTGGTAAAATCATCAAGGAGGATCTGGCCCATGGTGCCTGCTCAGTTGACATGGCTCTCAAGATAGTGGTGATAAGCCCCCATTTAAAATGCATGTAACTGGCTTACTGAGATAAAATTGACATAAATTCACCTATCTAAAGTGTACAATTCAATCAGTATATTCGCAGAGTTGTGCAGCTATCACTATCAATTTTACTTTTTCATGATTTTATACAAGATATCCTGTATCCTTTAACTTTAATCCTGTATCAACTTGTTTTCCAACCCTGACCCTTAACTTTTCTGTCTTCTATTCTGGACATTTCACATAAATAGCATCATAGGCTGGGCATGGTGGCTCATGCCTATAATCCCAGGCACCTGGGAAGCTGAGGCAGGAGGATCACAAGTTCAAGGCTAGCCTCGACAACTTAGGGAGGCCCTGTCTCAAATATAAAAAAAGGACTGGGGCTGGGGATGTGGCTCAAGCGGTAGTGCGCTCGCCTGGCATACGTGCAGCCCGGGTTCGATCCTCAGCATCACATACCAACAAAGATGTTGTGTCCACCGAGAACTAAGAAATAAATATTAAAAATTTTCTCTCTCTCTCTCTCTCTCTCTCTCCTCTCTCACTCTCTCTTTAAAAAAATAAATAAATAAATAAATAAAAAATAAAAAAAGGACTGGGGATGTGGCTCATGTGGCTCAGTGGTTAAATACTCCTGGGTTTAATCCCTGGTGGTAAAGGAGACACACAGATAGATGACTGGGGATGTAGCTCAGTAGTAAAGTATCCCTGTGTATTCACTTCCCAGTAACCCCCCCCCCAAAAAAAAGGCTTATATAACGTGGTCTTTTGAGACTGGCTTTGACATAGCAAAATGTTTCGAGGCTCAGGCATGTTGTATCAGGTATCCAGACTCCATTTATTCTTATAGCTAATATCCCACATTGCATGGATATTGTTTGTGTTTATCCTTTTGTCAGTTGATGGTATTTGTGTTGTTTTCACCTTTTTGCTGTCACAAATAATGCTGCTATGGATAGCCCACTTTATATATATATATATATATATATATATATATATATATATATTTTTTTTTTTTTTTTTTGTTGTTGTTGTTGTTGTTGTTGTTGTTGTTGTACTTAGTTTTCCATGAAGCAGAATGCATTTCAATTGATCATATACAAATGGAGCGCAACATTTCATTTCTTTGGTTGTACACAGTGTAGAGATGTACCATTTGTGCAATCATACATGTACCTAGAGTAATGATGTCCATCTCATTCCACTATCTTTTCTACCCTCATAACCCCTACCCATTGCTGAAGTCTGGCTGGGCACAAGATCACGAGCCACTCACACTTAGTAAATTCAAACAGCAATCCTTTATTCCCGAACTCACACCGGCCCTGTACAAACACGTTCTGGGGAAATCCAAGTTCTGCCGCGCAATTCACATCCCAAATACTTTCTCAATTCCACGAGAACTCAACGGGAACTCAGGCAGCAGGATACACCCTATTCCCAGCAGGAATAACCTTAATCCTGGAACTGCCTTAAACCCAGATTGTCCTAAACCGGGAACACCCTAAACTCAAATTATCCTAAACCCAGAACGCGCCCTAAACCCAAGGAGCGGGATACTTCCTAAAACTTGCAGGATACACCCTAAACCTGGATCCACCCTGGTCCTTGAGCAGGGTCACCTTTCTCAAACATACATGCAATGTCACAGCGAATGTCCAAGGCAAGTCCATTTCCACGAGTCCTTTCTCTAAGCAACATGGGGTACGCTGGCAAGGAAATTTCGATGCATCATTCCTACTTGGCAATGGCCCTCAGCAACCCATCCTCCCCTTTCCCCAATCCAAAGATCCTTCATTCTTCCCATGCCCCCCCCCCACACCATCATAGATCAACATCCACTAATCAGAGAAAACATTCGGCCTTTAGTTTTTGGGGATTGGCTTACTTAGCATAATATTCTCCAGCTCCATCCATTTACCTGCAAATGCCACAATTTTTTTTTCTTTTAATGCTGAGCAATATTCCACAGTCTCTATCCATTTAACTATTGATGAGTATCTAAGTTGGTTCCACAGTTTAGCTATTGTGAATTCACCTGGATAGCCCACTTTTATAAAAATATTTGAAGAAGAATTTTCTGTTTCAAAAGTTATAAATAATACCTAGTATGTAGAAAGTACTCACAGAAAGCTTCTTCAAGTTCACCCAGCTAGAAGAAAGCCTCCACGTTGACTTCTGAACATGGGAAGGTTGGTGACATTAAGGATGTCTGTCTCCTTCCTGCTGTGAGCACGGATGCCATTCCTCTGCTGTCTTCTGCCCTCCGTCTCCTCCCAGGTATCCAGGGTATGGAGGTACAGTTGGAGAACCAGATGGTCTTGGTGCAGACCACTCTGCCCAGCCAGGAGGTGCAGGCGCTCCTGGAAGGCACTGGGCGGCAGGCCGTACTCAAGGGCATGGGCAGCAGCCAGTTACGTGAGTGACCACTGTGTCCTTGGCCTCTGACTCTCTGGGAGGGAGCTAGCCCACTACTGGTTCAAATCTACCCAGACGATTCTCATGCTCTTGGTTGGAGTGGCTTTGGGGACAATGTGAAAGTCATGTGAGACTCCCTGCCCTTCCTGAGTTGATGAAGAGGTAGAGCAGAGTAAGGTGGCAAACTAGCCTGAGTGTCCAATACTTTGCAGAGAATCTGGGGGCAGCAGTGGCCATTCTGGGGGGTCCTGGCATCGTGCAGGGCGTGGTGCGCTTCCTACAGCTGACCCCTGAGCGCTGCCTCATCGAGGGAACCATCGACGGCCTAGAGCCTGGGCTGCATGGACTCCACGTCCATCAGTATGGTGATCTCACGAGGAACTGCAGCAGGTATATCATCCATAATGTCCCTGATAGTGGCTTCATCTGTGTGCTTTCACACTTGATCCTCACAAGAACCCCAAGAGGCTCAGCCTACAGATAAGAAACTGAGGCTCAAAGGGATTAAATGGTTTACAAAAGATCCCAGAGAATGTGAAAGGTAGAGTTGGGATTTGAATCAAGGTCTGATTCTGAGGCTCCTGCTGGGAACCACTGGACTGCCTCTCAGATGAAGGGCAGGGTCTGTGACAGAGTTTTTGTCCTACTGTCATATAATTAGTTGTTTACTCCTTTATGTCTCTCCTGGACCAGAAGCTCATTCAGGGCAAAACCCAAACCCATTCTTCTATCCAAACTCTTCCTTCTTGTTGCCATCTCCCCAAAGCCTGGAACAGAGTAGGCCTATTTGTTGAATGAATGAAACAAATGTAGATAGAGAAGAAAGTGGACCAACTTGGCCTGTGAGCTGCTGTTCTGCTGCCCACCTGCTCCCTCTCCTCCTTAGCTGTGGGGACCACTTTAATCCTGATGGAACATCTCATGGGGGACCAGAGGACCCTGAACGGGTAAGTATTCGTCTGGGCTGGGCTCAGGTATAGAGAAAACCCAGGTCTCAGAGGCTGGGCAGGCAGCTCCTGGGGCCTTGGAGTGTGGTGGGGTCTTTTCCTCTCATTTCATTTTGTTCAGTGTAAGAACATTTGTTAATTCTTTTCTGTGAGCAAGGCCTTGGGAAATAACACTGCATAGTCCAGTGCCTGCCTCCAGGGGGCTCACAGTCTAGTGGTATAATCCTTGCTGGAGCCCCAGGAACCCAGGCTGACACCTGATCCAACCCAAGGGCCAGTGGGAAACCGCCTCCCAGCAGAGCAGGTGAGGGTGTGGAAACTGAAGCTTTTACTAAAAAGGCTGCCCCTGACACTAGGACCCCAGTCCTGGTATTGTGTTCTCTCCAGAAGATTGTTTCCCTGACTTCAGGGAGTCAATCACATGCCACCTCAAAGATTTTCGAATTATCTGAGTCAGGCTTGTACGTTCCTTAATTGTTTAAGTTGACTCATTTTTTTTCCTTCGATAAATTTAGTTGTATTATTATTACTGTTGTTGTTGTTGTCATTATTAGTATTATTTTCAATCAATCCCAGGAAGTTCCAACATGTTCCAAAGTAGAGCAATAAATATCAAAAACAGCCATGTGGGGCTGGCTGGGGCTGGAACTCAGTAGTAGAGCACTTGCCTATCATGTGTGAGGCACTGGGTTTTATCCTCAGCACCACATAAAAATAAATAAAATAAAGGCATTATGTCCATCTACAGCTACAAAATATTCTAAAAAACCCCAAACTGCCATGTCCTTATCATCTAACTTCAGGTTACCATTTCATGGTCACCATTATTTTGTCTATATCCCTGGCCCTTCTCCACCAGTATTTTGAAGCAAATCAAGACCTCATTTCATATCACTAAGGAAGATTGATTGATTGATTGACTGACTGATTGAGACAGGGTCTTGCTATGTTAAGCCCAGATTGGTCTTAGCCTCAGCCTCCTTAAGAGCTAGGACTGCAGGCTCACACATAGCTGAGGTAAATGTATTTTTAACTAGAAACTTGATATTGCCACATAAAATCAATAAAAGAAAAAAGTTGCTAAAGTCCTGCTAGAGACTGGCTTGACAGGCTTGGGGACTGAGGTCACTTTGTCAAAGTACAGATTAGAGGACATGAAAGTGGTGTAAAATACCTGTTCACACTAACCTGAGACTTTCCTCCTGATGCCTTCCCAGGGGCTGGAAGCCATTGAAGGGGGGACTGCATGTTCCTTAATGCCCTGTCACACCTCTTATCATCTCCTTTCTGGGGGTGTGTGTCCCCCCAGCTCTTGGAGATAACAGCCAAAGGCAGGTTCCTGGTGCTGGAAACCTGCCACCTCCTTCTAATGTGGCAGGACTCAGGGCCTTGTTTTTATTTTTTTTCCTTTGTTCACATCTGTCTCTCATTACTTATGAGATCTTCAAAACTTCTTTACCTTATAAAATACCTTTTCCTGCCTGTATTTTTTATTTTTATATTACATTTTCTTTAAATATGATTTTATTTATTTATTTATTTATTTTGGTACTTGGGCTTGAACCCAGGGGTGCTTATTCACTGAGCCACATCCCCAGACCCTTTTATCTATTTATTTATTTTTTAAAGAGACAGGATCTCACTAAGACAGTACTTAGGGACTCACTAAGTTGCTGAGGCTGACCTTCAACTTAAAATCCTCCTGCCTAAGCCTCCCAAGGTGCTGGGATTATAGGTGTGTGCCACCATGCCCAGTTTTATTTTCTATCTTGATGAACAGTTTCAACCTCTGACACAAACCAATGAAACCATGGTACAGGGTAAGCATCCCTAACCTCAAAATCCAAAATCCAAATACTCTAAATCTGGAACTTTGAGTGTAGTCCTTTTTGTTTTGGGGGAGAGAGAGGTATAGAGGTTTGAACATGCTAGGTAAGTACTCCACTGCAGAGTGAGGTGTATTTTTAAGAGTTTGGATTTTTGTATTAGGGTTGCTCAACCAGTAAAGTGTATAAGAACCTTTTTAAAATCTGAAACACTTGGAAATCACTGACCTCAAGCATTTTGGATAAGGTTTATTCAACTTATATGTTTATTATTTCATGTAACTGATTATTTTGGATTTGGGACAGCTCTGTCTTGTTTCTAGTGGTCAAAATCTCTAATTTTGCCCCTGAAAAGTTGGGGAGACAAAATGTCCTCAGTGTCCAGGGCATTAGTGATCTTCTGCCTCAAATGACTCAGCATTAGCACATAAAACAGTAGACTTTGATCATCTCAGTTTCTTTGGGCCAGAATCTGGGTGTTTCTGGCTCAGGATCTCATGGGGCTGCAATCATTGAGGGCTCAACATGGAGAGGATCAGTTTCCCAGCTTGCTATTGCAAGAGTTGCTGTTGGCAGGCTTCGGGTCCTCCTTGGCTGTTGGCCAGATACTTAGTGCTTTGTCACATGGGTCTCTCGCTAGGGCAGTAGCTGACTTCCTTCTGAGTACATGAGTAAGAGTGTGAAAGCCTCCAAGACTGAAGCCAGGTTCTTGTTGTAACCTAATCTAGCAAGTGACACTCAGTCTAGCCCTCACTCCAGGGGGTAAATCACACAGCCGTGAGTAGGGGAGGTGCATCTCCACCCTGCCTGCCTCCTTGGGCCTTGAAAGCTGGTGGGCAGGAGCTGGGCAGGTGAAGAGCATGAGCGTGGGAAAGGCAGATCCAGCAAGGAAAAGGCCAGGCCAGCCAGGAGGTATGGCACAGCAGGAGTGTTTCTGGAGGGCAAGAAACTATCTTGTCACCTGTTTTTTTTGCCCCAAAGTGGATGGAGTTGGCAGCCACATTGCGCCCCAGGAAGAAGTGAGTAAAAACTGAGCAGCCAAGGCTGTCATGAGATCTCCAGTTTCCTTTTGGGTTACAGCACTTGGTTTTGCGCCACTGGAAATGAATTCATTGTGGGAATTCGTGTCCAAGCTGGTTGTCCCTTCACATCTCTCCTAATGATCTCTAAGCTTCTATCCCTTTTCTCTCAGCCCTCCTCAGTCTTTCCTTTTCATACAATGTACTGAGGGGTTGCTCTGAAGCATGGAAGGACCATGCCACGCTCTTGCCTGAAACCCTTCTTGGCCTTCCAGTGCCTGAGGGTACAGACTGGGCCCAGCTTCTTGGTGTGATGTTCAAGGACTCCTTGGCCCAATTCCACTTTCCTGTGTGCTGAGGGTAGGGACTGGGAAGACAGTTTCTCCCTTACCCCCTGCAGGGTCATGCCCAGCCTGCTCCCAGCCTAGCCCTGATACCTCCCCGACCTTGATGGTGGTTTCTACCATTAGAGTCCCCAACATAGGACAGTATAACAAAAAGTGCCAGGTGCTGGCCACAGATGCTGGCCACAGATGCCCCTCTGAACATGAAGATAAAGCAGAAACAGTATTCTTGCTGCTGTCAGCTCTGTCAGCCACCACATGCTGGTGTGCTTTGCTATGCAGCAGCAGGGCCTGTGGACCAGCCCACACTGGCTCCAGCACTTGCTTTTGCCCAAGTGTCAGGGATGATTTATTTGCACAGATGTAGGTTTCTATGGCTTACCAATAAGGTCCTATCACCCTAGCACATACCAGCTATTGTCCTCATTTGTGTTACCCTTTTTTTTTGGGTACTGTGGATTGAACCCAAGGGTGCTTTGATATTGACCTACATCCTCAGCTCTTTTCTTAATATTTATTTTTTAGTTTTAGGTGGACACAATATCTTTATTTTTAAAATTTTTATGTGGTGCTGAGGATCAAATCCAGCGCCCCGCGCATGCCAGGTGAGCGCGTTACCGCTTGGGCCACATCCCCAGCCCCCAGCTCTTTTCATTTTTCATTTTGAGACAGGGTCTCGCTAAGTTGCTGAGGCTGGCATTGAACTTGAGATCCTGCCTCAGCCTCTTGAGTCACTGGGATTGCAAGCGTGCGCTACCATGCCCAGCCTCACCTCTTTTTTTTTTTAGAGAGAAGAGAGAGAATTTTTTTTAATATTTATTTTTCAGTTTTCAGTGAATACAGCATCTTTATTTTATTTTTATGTGGTGCTGAGGATTGAATCCAGCTCCCCGCGCATGCCAGGCGAGCATGTTACTGCTTGAGCCACATCCTCAGCCCCTCACCTATGTTCTTGATCACATCTATTTCATATCAGAGGCCTTTGAGGGTGGAGACCATATATGTACCCCACCATGCCTGCCAGAGTATCTGACTGCAGGTGTTCAGGAGATGTGTTAGGATGCTTTTTCTTTTCTTTTGGACGGGAGGATTGAACTATTCAGGGGCACTTGACCACCGAGCCACATCCCCAGCCCTATTTTGTACTTTACTTAGAAACAAGGTCTCACTGAGTTTTTGCTGAGGCTGGCTTTCAACTCACGATCCTCCAGTCTCAGCCTCCTGAGCTGTTGGGATTACAGGCATGTGCCATCATGCCTTGCTAGATGCTTTTCTTACCTTCTAGGAAGAAGGGGAAAACCCAGCTTCTGGAGCCAGGACAGGCCCTTTGCCCTCTCATGTTTCTTCTTTCTGTTCCTTGAGCCAGGAGTCAGGGAAGTGATGCTGGCTCCTGTGATGGTTAGAGAAGCCAACTGTTGCAACTTAAGCCTAGGGGAATTGAAGACTGCCAAGGGCCTGCAGAGCCAAAGGAGGCTGGAGAACTGGGCTTGGAAAGAATCAAGAACTGGGCTATCACGGCTGCAAGTAGGGATGGACAATGTAGGAAAGACAGCCTGGTCCAACAGGGGTGACTGCCCAGAATAGGGATGCTGGCCCTTTCCAGGGTGCTGGCATTTCCCCTAGGATTTGAATTCAGGGAAGGAGTGTCCAGTTGCCTTCCTTGAGTTCCAGAATATTCCTTGATCCTACTCACTGGGCCCACAGGAAGAAATTGGTGGCTTTGGGAAGTGGGAAGAGAAATCAGATACTGCAAAGCCAGAATATAACAACACCTGTGCCCCCATGTAACCCTTCTTCCCACTGTGTCTCAAACCAGCACCGCGGAGACCTGGGCAATGTCCATGCTGATGCTGATGGCCGAGCTGTCTTCCGGATAGAGGATGAGCTGCTGAAGGTGAGCTGGGAAGAAGGTTGGGCCCTTCCCAAAGGGACAGTGATTCTGAGACTGTTGTCACCCTTCAAAGGTGTGGGACGTGATTGGTCGCAGCCTGGTTGTTGATGAGAGAGAAGATGACCTGGGCCGGGGTGGCCATCCCTTATCCAAGATCACAGGAAACTCTGGGGAGAGGTGGGTAACTGCCTTCAAGAGGAGGCTGTTCTCTGCCAGTGGCACACATGGGACTCTGGGAGGTACCAGACAAGGGTCTACTCTGACCATACATCCTTCTTCAGGTTGGCCTGTGGCATCATTGCACGTTCCGCTGGCCTTTTCCAAAACCCCAAGCAGATCTGCTCTTGTGACGGCCTCACTATCTGGGAGGAGCGAGGCCGACCCATCGCTGGTGAGGGCCGAAAGGACTCAGCCCAGCCTCCTGCTCACCTCTGAGCAGGACCTCGCCTTGATTCTCTTCTGTCCTGCCAGCTGAGCACCTTCCCCCTACAGAGGAAGAAGAGTGAGTTGTGCTTGCTCAGGCCCAGGAGGACTGGGCACAGGGCATATAGGGGTCACTGTGAGGTTCCTTTGGCAAATTAAACTTTTATTTTCATATGGAACATAGATTTTGTCTCTCTGTGTCCCTTAATGGACTTGGTGAACATAGTCTTTCTGCTCTATGTTTTGCCCCAGGGCTACTCCTTAGCTTTGAAGCCAAAAAACCTGGATTAAAATCCACACACTGGCCAGGAGTGGTGGCACACACCTGTATTCCCAGCCATTTGGGAGACTGAGGCAGGAGGATCACAATTTCAAAGCAAGCCTCAGGAACTTAGGCCCTCAGCAATTTAGCGAGGCCCTGTCTCAAAATAAAAAGTAATAAAAGGGCTGGGGTTGGGGCTGATGTTGTGGCTCAGTGGTAGAGTGCTCTCCTAGCATGTATGAGGCGCTCAAGCCTCAGCACCACATAAAAATGTATAAAATAAAGGTATTGTGTCCAACTACAACTGGAAGAAAAAAAAAAGGTGGGGTCAATCTATTACCCTAATGCCAAAAAAAAAAAAAAAAATCCACACACCAGGCCTCAGGCCCCTCTTCCTCTTTAGGGTAATAGTGAAGGGGCACAGCAGTTGTATTTCTGTGTGTGGCCTCCCTTTTCCCCTCACTTGGCTGACTGGAATCAAATCAACTCCATCTGTGCTAGCCCGTGTATTCCTTGAGAAATCAGAGCAGATCTAGCTGTAGTTTCTCCCTGTGGTTGGACTCATAAGAATGTAGGAACTTTAGGACCCCATTCTCTTTTAAAATTAATCTGGCTCAAGTTGATTTCTTTATCAACTCACAAGTAAAAAAAAAAAACCTCTTAATTAACCTAATTAAGTCTTAATTACTAAGTGTGTGCTTGGCAGAAAGCCTGGTACATGCTAAGTTAAGGGAGCTGAAGCTGTGATTCTGAAGCCACATGGGCCTCTGGAGACAACCCCAGCAAAATTCCTCTCTCAGCCAGTGGCTATTAACCAAAATAGCACATGGGCCTTGGATTTGGGGCTCCCCTCAGCTGTTCCCCCAACACCCCCACCCCATGCCACGTTAGGCTTTCCCATCCTTAACAAAACTGCTTTTTCAACCTGGTAAAGTACAAACTTTGTCCCTGTGCCACCTGCGTGGAATCAGGAGGGGGCTTTATAGTTAGTTGGCTTTGGCTTTGAGGCTCCTGGCTCTGTTCCCATTCCCTAGGCCCTGCCTGTTTTCCACTTCAAGGTTGCTGGCACCACCTCCAGTGCCAGCCTTGGACTCTGTTCCTTCTGACCAAACTTACGCTGGTTGTATTCCTATTCCCCTTGGTCCTTGGAGCCAAATCCTTTTAAGCCTGAGATCCAGGATGTCTTCCCTACCTCCTGGCCATTACAGAAATGTCTGGGTTCTGTCCATAGCCAACCCCTGACCTTCTTACACCTCCATTCTGGAATTACAGCAGGGCTTAACTGTTTTGAGCTGAACTACTCACCATTCCCTACCACTCAGTTAACACTCTTAAGAGATCAACATGCCCATTAGCTGCTCTCTTTCTGAACTCTGAGCTATGTGATTTCTAAATTGTTTGCATATTGCAGAACACTGTTGAGATGCCTTGAAGCCACATCTGCAAAACAGAAGTATATCTGCAACCAAAGATGCTGAGTCCTGTCACAGGACTCCCCCAAAGCCCTAGAACCTTAGGGAGTACAGTTTGAAAATCTTTTCAAACTCAAGGGTTGGGGTTATAGCTCAGTGGTAGAGTGCTTGCCTAGTATGTGTGAGGCACTGGGTTCCATTCTCAGCACTGCATATAAATAAATAAAATAAGGTCCATTGACAACTAAAAAATATATTTAAAAACTCTTTGTAAACTCAAGCATTTCTGTGCTACCCCTCAGTTTTCTTGAACATTATTTAGTTGTTGATAGACCTTTATTTTATTTGCTTATTGTTATATGGTGTTGAGAATTGAACCCAGTGCCTCACACATGCTAGGCAAGTGCTCTACCACTGAGCTACAACTTCAGGCCCTACCGCTCAGTTTTCACCATGTCTATAAATCATCTGTGCCATAATTTACCAAGTAATTTTCTTTAAATTGATTCTCTTTTAAACTTACTTAAAAAGGAAATTTTCATCATATTAGCAAATACCTGTATTGTGCTTATTATATAATTGTATTAAGTTCCAGGCTCTGTTATAAACACTTCCTTTTCCCTTTCCTCCCTTCCTCCCTCCTTGTTTCCTTCCTCCCTTCTTTTTATGTACTGGGAGATTGAATTCAGGGTCCCATGTATGCTAGGCAAGTATTGAGCTATATCCCCAGCCTTTCTTATTTTTTTGAGACAGGGTCTAGCTAGGTTGCCCACGCTGGCCTTGAACTTGAGATCTTCCTGCTTCAGCTTCCTGAGTAGTAGTAGATTACAGGTGACACGGCATGGGGCTAGATATGGAGCTCACTCCTTCTTTCCTTCCTTCCTTCCTCCTCCCTCCCTCTCTCCCTTTCTTCCTTCTTTCCTTTTCCCTATCCCTGTTCCTCTCCCCACATCCCTTTCTTTCTTTTTTTTTTTTTAAAGAGAGGGAGAGAGAGAGAGAATTTTTTTTAATATTTATTATTTATCGGCAGACACAACATCTTTGTTTGTATGTGGTGCTGAGAATCGAACCCTGGCCGCACGCATGTGAGGCGAGCGCGCTACCGCTTGAGCCACATCCCCAGCCCACCCCTTTCTTTTTGATACTGGGATTGAACTCAAGGGCACTCAACCACTGATCCACATCCCCAGCTCTGTTTTGTATTTTATTTAGAGACAGGGTTTCACTAAGTTGTTCAGTGCCTAGCTTTTGCTGAGGCTGGCTTTGAACTCTACAGTAATCTTCCTGCTTCAGCCACTGGGATTATAGGCGTGTGCCACCTCACCTGGCCAGAAACTTTTTTTTTTAAAGAGAGAGAGAGAGAGGAGAGAGAGAGAGAGAGAATTTTTAATATTTATTTTTTAGTTGGCAGACACAACATCTTTGTTGGTATGTGGTGCTGAGGATCGAACCCGGGCCGCACGCACGGCAGGCGAGCGCGCTACCGCTTGAGCCACATCCCTAGCCCCAGAAACTTTTTTGTTTTGTTTTGTAACGGGGATTGAACCCAGGGATGCTTAACCTATAAGCCACATTCCAGCCTTTTCTATTTTTTATTTTGAGTCAGGGTCTCCCTAAGTTGCTTAGGGCCTTGCTAAATTGCTGAGGCTGGCTTTGAACTTGCAATCCTCCTGCCTCAACCTTCTGAGTTGCTGGAGTTACAGGTGCCTGCCACCATGCCTGGAAGAAATGCTGGGTTAAAGACTAGAAACTGTTTTTAAGAGTCTTCTAGGTGATTTTGAAGCATGCCAAAGTTTTTTTAAGTCCCAACTTAAAAAAAAAATGGGGCTTGGTATAGCTCTGTGGTAGTATTTGCCCAGTATGCATCAGACCCTGAGTTTTATCCCTAGCAACAACAAAACAAAACAGAAGAGAGGTGTGTCCTTTTTTTGTAAAAATGGGATTCAGGATTATCCTCCAGTCCCCCCAAATTCTCCTCTATTATGTATGTGTGGTAGGGGGTGCTGAAGATCAAACCCAGGGTCCCCTGTGTGTAGCACTCCACCATTGCAATATGTCCCCACTTGTATACATTCTTTTAATTTGATAATAATTGATAATGAAATTTTGTAGCAAATTTTCCTAATAGCTCCATTTACTGGGCTTAACAGAGTGTTCAACATACTGCTCAACACTTTATAGAATCTTGTTATTGCTCAAAATGACCTTGTGCTTTGTAGATATTTACCAAGGTTTATTAAACCTGTTTGCACAAATGCCTGTACACAAACTTTTTAGTCATAACCTTCAAAAAATGGAAACAATCTAGATGTCCTTCAACTGTGGAATGGAAAAACAAATTGTGGTACATTCATATGATGTCAATCATTGATAATAAGAACCAACTATGGATACAAGCAATGACATGGATGAATATCAGATGCATTGTTTAGTGAAAGATGCTATACTTGAAAGCGACATATATGTGACTCTATTTAATAAACAACATTTTGGAAAAGACAATATAGTGAAAGAAAACATATAAGTGTTTGCCAGAGGCTTGAGCATGGGAGTTGACTGCAAAGAGACATCATGAGGAAGCTATTTATGGTGAAAAATCCATTCTATACTTCAATTATGATGGTCATAGGGGTGTTTGTCAAAACTCAAAGAACTATACACTAGAAAGGGAAAGTATCACTGTATAAATTATACTTCCATTAAAAAACAAGCAAAATTCAGCTATTTCACTACTGGGTGGAGTTACAGGATATTGTTTAATATCCAAGAGAAGTAAAAGCAAGGTCTCAAATAATATTTGTACACCAATGTTCACAGTAGCATTGTCTATAATAGCCTGAAAGTGGAAGCAACCCAATAGTATACTGATGGATGATAAACAAAATGTGGTATATACATGCTATGGAATATTATGCAGCCTTAAAAAGAAGGAAATTCTGATACCTGCTCCAACATAGATCAATCTTGAAGTGCTATGTGAAATTAGCTAGTAACAGAACAATTAATTGTATGATTTCACTTATATCAAATAACTAGAGTAGTCAAATTTCGCAGAGAAAGAAAGCAGAATAGTGGTTTCCAGGCAGGGGGAGAAAGGAGTTAGGTGGTTTTTTTGGTTTTTTTTTTTGGTACTGGGATTGAACTCAGGGGCACTCAACACTGAGCCATATCCCCAGCCCTATTTATATTTTATTTAGAGATAGGGTCTCACAGAGTTGCTTAGTGCTTCTCTGTTGCTCAGGCTGGCTTTGAACTCCCGATCCTCCTGTGTCAGCCTTCAGAGCTGCTGGGATTACAGGCATGCACCACCATTCCAGCTCTAGGGATTAGTATTTAATGGGTTCAGAGTTTCAGCTGGGGAATATAAAAATAGATGCATGGTGGTGATGGTTGCACAATAATGAGGATGTACTTAATACCATTGAACTGTGCACTTGAGTAGAGTTTAAATAATATTTTATGTTATATCTTTTACTACAATAAAAAAATCTTATATTTAAAAAGAAGACAAACTTGGCATGGTGGTGCATGCCTGTAATCCTGGCAATTTGGGAGGCTGAAGGATCACAAGTTGGAGGCCAGCCTGGGCAATTTAGCCATATACTCTCTCATAAAAAAAAATAAATAAAATGGGCTAGGGATGGTAGCTCAGAGGTAGAATGCTCCTGGGTTCAATTCCCAGTACCAAAACACAAAACAAAACAAAACAAAACAAACAAATGAAAAATCCAAAACACACATACACACACAAAAAAACCCAATAAAAACCCACAAAATCTTGAGCACAAAATTTGATACTGTCTGAATATTTCTCAAGAAGGATGTAGAATTCATGATATCATCCGTATATGAATGTGGTTTTCTCAGCAATAGATGACAATACTTTTGCAAATCTGAAGAGGTGAAAAAATATTTTTTCTTGGGAAATTGAATTTCCCTGTGACTGCAGTTTATTTATTGGCCATTTGCAGTTTTTTTTTTTTAAGAGAGTGAGGAGAGAGAGAGAGAGAATTTTTAATATTTATTTTTTAGTTTTCGGCAGACACAACATCTTTGTTGGTATGTGGTGCTGAGGATCGAACCCGGGCTGCACGCATGCCAGGCGAGCGCACTACCACTTGAGCCACATCCCCAGCCCTGCAGTTCTTTTCTATAAAACTGTCAGTTCAAATGCTTGATCATTTGCCTAATTTTTCTTCATCAATTTGTTGCGGTTATTTGTATAGTATAGATATTAACTATTAAGATTTCCAAATTTATACCTTCAGTCCTGAACTCCAGACCCATTCAATTGCCCAAGATGCTCTTTTCCTTTTTTAAAATTTTTTATCAGCACCAAGGACTGAACTCAGGGCCTCACACATGTAAGCAACTGCTCTACCACTGAGCACAACTCAGTCCTTCTTTTAAATTTTATTTGGAGACAAGAGTCTCACTAATTTTTCCAGACTAATCTTGAATTTGCAATCTTCCTGCCTCAGCTTCCTGAGTCACAACTGGCTACTGGGGTATCTACTTATTTATTTTTGGTGCTGAGAATTGAATCCAGGGGTGCTTTGCCACTGAGTTATATCCCAGGTCCTTTTTATTTTGAGACATGATCTTACTAAGTTGCTGAGGCTGGTTTGAACTTACGATCCTCCTGTCGCAGCTCCCAAGTTGCTGAGATTTTAGACCTGTGCCATTACACCTGGCTGGGGCATCTTTCAAAAGGGCAGGAGTTTCAGTCTTTTTATTTCTTGGTACCAGGAATTGAACCCAGGGGCACTTAACCACTGAGCCACACTCTCGGCCCTTTTAATTTTTTATTTTGAGATAGGGTCTCATTAAATAGCTTAGGGCCTCACTAAATTGCTGAGGCTGGTTTTGAACTTTCAAACCTGCCTCAGCCTCCTGAGCTGCTAGGATTACAGGTATGTACCACCTGCTTTACGTGCTAACCCCATCACTCAGGTTTCAACTAGAGGATTTGGGGGATGCAAACTTTCAGATCATAGCAATCTCTAAAACTGAATTTCTGATTTTTATAGCAAGTGCTTCTCATAATGTAGCCCATCTCAGTAAATAGCAACTTCATGCTTCCATGTGCTCCATGTCATCTTTAACTCCTCCCTTTCACAACTCACATCCAATCACAGCGGTGATAGCTGACATCAAACTACATCCAATCTGTTTGCTTTTCCTTAATTCAACCTTGTTCATATCATCTCTCTCCTGGACTTTTGCAGTGGCGATAATTATTCTGAGGAAACAATTGTTTCCTCTATAGTCTTTTTACTCACCTTAAGAGGAGGTACAATACTTATAAAACTATGAAACAGATACAGATGTCATATCAGATCAACCCATATGTTCTATGCCCTCCATAGACTTCCAGCCTTACAATGAAAACCAAAGTAATTCAATGGCCCACAAGGTGTGGCATTATCCTTCCCCCTTCCTTCTCTTCCTATTATTCCCTTTTCCAGGCTCCAGGGATACTGGCTCTTTGCTCTTTCTGGAACCAGCCTGATTTGCTCCTGCTCCAGGACTTTTTGTCTTATACTTTCCAGCTGGAATGATCTTTCCTCAGAGGATGGCATCTTGATTACTTGAATTCTTCATCACCATCTACCTGCTGTGTTTATTTTCTCTCTCCCCACCAAAATATGAGCACCAAGATTGAGATTTTGTTATCTTGGTTGTTATTATTCACTGCTGTGTTAGTTTTTCATCACTGTTACAAAATACCTGAGAAAATCCACTTAATTAAGGAAATATTTATTTTGGCTCAAGATTATAGAGATTTCAGTCCATGGTTGTTTGGCTCCATTGCTTTGGGTCTATAGTAAGGGAAAGCATCATGGGGGAAAGAGCATAGTGGAGCAGAGTGGCTCATCCCCATGGCCACAGAAAAGGTAGGGATGGGGAGATGGTTGAGGGTGCAGGGGGAGTATCAATTGTGGAGATGGCAGACAAAAACCTACATCTTTAAATAGGTCCCACCTCTTACAGTTTTCACCACCTCCTAGTAGCCCATTCAGGTACAAATCAGATGGATTAATCCATTGATGTGATTGAAGTCCTCATAATCCAGTCACTTCGGGCTGGGGATGTGGTTTAAGCAGTAGCGGGCTTGCCTGGCTTGCGTGCCGCCCAGGTTCGATCCTCAGCACCACATACCAACAAAGATGTTGTGTCCCCCGAGAACTAAAAAAAAAAATAATATTAAAAAATTCTCTCTCTCTCTTTAAAAAAAAAAAATAATCCACTCACTTCCCCAAAGCCTCACCTTTTAACAGTGCTATATTGGGGACCAAGACTTCCACATATAAGCCTTCGGGTTCAGATCCAAACATTAACTCCTATATCATTGATGCTGTCTACATGGCAGGTGTTCCATGCAGTATGTTGAATGAACATGTGAAGAATATTTGCGAATTTGTCACATGACTTTGTTTTTGGTGTCTTCTGCCATGTACAAATCTTTACATACTTAAATCTGTTGGTTTAAAACTTTTTCTTTCTTTTGTGAGGCTCAATTTTTGCCTCTTCAAGGATTATTTTAATTTTCCATTTTGTAAATGTTTTAATCGTGGAAAACGTCAAAGATCCAAGAGTCATTTCCTTATTTTTCGACTGAAAATTCCATCACGGCAGGGACCGGCTCTAATTTTTCGCTGTCTGCAGTGTCTACCCGGGGGAATGTGCCTGCAAAGACTGAGTTAAAGGCACCAGGACTCCTGGGGTAGACGCCTGAGGACCAGCGGACGCCCTGCACAGTCCCGGGGCGGTCTGCTGACTAGAGGCGTTGGTCCCGGTTTCTCCCGCCAGGCCTGGCCTTCCTCGGGTCATTCACGCTGCAGTCTCCAGGCACGGGGTTAGTTAAGACTGCCAGAATGGGAGGAGCCCTGACTTCCGACTGAACAAAGTTTTCCTTAGGGCCCTGGAGTCGGGGCCCCACCCAGGCCAGAGGCCGCCTCTCCAACTAGGCCTCTGCCGCCCGCGCAACCCGCGCGCGCTCCCTCCTCTCCAACCCTCCTTCCCCTCCCCCCGGCAGCGGCGGTTGGTCGCGCGTCGTCGTCCCTCTCCCACCCCCTCCGCTAACGAGCGGGCTCCAGGCCCTCTGTGATTGGCTGCGCCCGAGCGCATCTTCTTTCAGTCTCTATGATTGGCTGCCGCACGCGCGGGATGCCCGTCCCGATTGGCTAGATCAGCGCGCCTGCGCGGCAGGGTTCTCGGTCGCCAGCCATTCCTGGGGAGGACTGCCGGTCGGTCGGACGTCTCGGCTGTCGCTGGAGGAGCGGTCCCGGCTCTCCGGGAAGGCAGCTGCGGCGGCAAAATGAAGATATTCGTGGGCAACGTCGACGGGGCGGATACAACGCCGGAGGAGCTGGCAGCCCTCTTCGCGCCCTACGGCACGGTCATGAGCTGCGCCGTCATGAAACAGTTTGCCTTCGTGCACATGCGCGAGAACGCAGGCGCGCTGCGCGCCATCGAGGCCTTGCACGGCCACGAGCTGCGGCCGGGGCGCGCGCTCGTGGTGGAGATGTCGCGCCCAAGGCCGCTGAACACTTGGAAGATTTTCGTGGGCAATGTGTCGGCTGCATGCACGAGCCAGGAATTGCGCAGCCTCTTCGAGCGCCGCGGACGCGTCATCGAGTGTGACGTGGTAAAAGGTAACACGGAGGCACGCTCGGGGGCGGGGGCGCGCTCGGGGCACTCTGCCTGTTAGCCACGCCCCTTACCCGGGGGTCGGTCACTGCGCGGTTGGGCAGGGTGGGGAAGTGCGCTGGGGCGAGGCCAGAGGTGTTGGGGGTGCGTTGGGCAGAGCCACCCTCCTCCCCTGCGGTCCAGGCACCGTTCACCAAGTGGGAGGAAGCGGCTCTGGGAGGGTGCGGCGGCCACTGCGAGCCGAGCCACGGGGCCGGGGACGCGCCAGAGACTTGCGAGTGTACCGGGGGCGCGTCTTCTGGTCTCCTGGGCCTGGCACCGAGCGGAAATTGGGAAGTGACGGGCACAAGCCGGATCATGGAGCGGGGAAGATTTCGCCACTTCCCCACTTCCTCTCCAGACGTCGGTCAGAGCAAGGGAAGAGGGAAAAGGTGGGGGCTGACGCCCCAAGGCCGCCCTCGTGTTCCCTCCCGATGAATGCTCCCAAGCGGAAGGTAACGGGGCCCTTGGACGTTTCTCGGGCTGGGATCTCTTAGTATTGTTTGGCATGGGTCTCCTCATGGGTACAGGAAGGGCCCCTTCCGAGCCACTTTGGTATTTTCAGTATTTGATGGGTTAGATGTGGCAGCTTTGTGGTCCAACTCCCTTAAACCTGTTTTCCCTCTTTCCCCACCCTTTGGGCTCGATTTTAGATCTGTTAGCTGGAAACCCTGACCTTTTTGCTTGTGGAAGGAGATTTGTTTTATGAGGGCCCCTTTTGTACAGCTTTACTTGCCAAACTGATGCCCCAGGGCAGTGTCATTCTTTCATAAGCTTGGAGACTTTTGCAAGGGGGCATACTTTGGCTGAGGGGATTATGGGGAGAGATGTGTGAGAGGTCTTCCTTAAACATTGGCTGAAAACGATTTACTTGAGAGTTGTCATTGCTTGAATTCTCAGAGCAGATCCCTAGTTTGCCTTTTCTTTGAGAAAAATGTGTCACCATAATTTAGGCTTGATTTCCTTTTTGGAGCCCAGTCGACTTTTTCTTTTTCTTTTTTAATATTCTGAGTTCTTATCCCCTAAGTTCTTTCTCTTTTGGGGAAGATTTGATGGGTCAGCCCTTGTATATATGTGGCCTGTCTTTGTTCCACTTGGGAACAGATCTGAGTTAACTTTGCCCTGTTATTTTCAAGGATGCACCTGGGAGTATGTGATGCCCTCCTGGTGTTGGATTCATGCCTGCTCATACCCTGTGTGAGACGCTTTGAGGATGAGAAATAAATAGGTGCAGTTGCTTGTTAATGGTCACCAAAGATATTTCATTTGTTGTCCGGTAAAGGCACATCTTTGGCCATTCCTTGTCCTTTCCACAAGTTGGGGAAATGTTATTGTGTCCCTTACTAGGAACAAATTCTTATTCTGCATTAATACTCCATTCTATTTTCCTCAACTTAGGTTATGCAAGTCCACGAGACTATCCGGAATCGGGCTTTCCTGCTGGGTGCTCTGAGGCAGGATGTATGGTGCATGGATTTTTGATTTTGTTTAGAATGAAAGAGTGGGAGGGTGTCAGATTGGGTACTTGGCCAGCAAGGGGTATGAGAGTTTTGTGTTTAATTAATCTGTTAGGTTTCTTTTGTAGTTGTTAGGCAGGGTGTCTGGTAGATTGAAAGTCTAGAATCAGTACTTGGGGCAATCTCTATGGAACTCATGATCAAGAAGCTTGTTCTCAAGTGGTAGAGAAAGCCAAAAATGTTCTTCAATTTGTTTGGGATCAACACTAAGTGACCGGGGGAAGGGTGGTGGTGGTGGTGGTAGTGGTAAAGTGCATGATAACTTCACATGAGTTTTAGAATTTCTGGCTGATTCCCTGTGAGAGTTAGAGAGAAAAGTTTGTGCATTTTGTTCCTTTGTAAACATTTGTTAGCAGAAATGCTTGGACTTCCTCAGGGAGGTGTCTTCCATTGTTGTTAGGCTTATATGCAATAGCACCTGATGCACTGATATCCTTCACTGATATCTATAGTTCTTAAGGGTGAAAAAACTTAGGATTTAAAGTTGGGAATTTGTAGAAGAGACTGGCTCAATAAATAGCTTACTCATTTCTTGACTGTGAATGAGCGTTTTGATTTGCTGTCAGGTCTTCTGGTTTGCAGTTCTAGGGTTCAAACTCAGGGCCTACATGCTGTGCTAGGACTCTACCATTGAGCCACACCCTCAGCCCTGTCAAATCTTTGAAAAGCACAGGACAGCTAGCTCTGTTTTATTTCACAGGAGAAAAACATGGTTGCTTGGTTACTCTAGGAGCTTAGATATGATTTGTAGACCAAAAATCTCCATAGCAACAGTGGTAACCACTCTCTGCAGCTGTGTCCTATTGGGTATTCAAAGATGAATAGCTTCAAGAACCACTTGCAGACTTTGGCCATTGCATACTTCAGGGGAGGTCTGAGTCAGAAGAGGAAAATTATCCCTTCTCTTTTGTGGGTAGCCATCCTTTAAATACCGAGCTCTATAGTTTCAAAGTTTTTAAAAAATCATCTTGGGATAGGAAAAGTTGTTTTTCTGGATTCTCTTAACTTTGGTACTAGAGGGATTGTGATGTCATCAGACCATTAGGAGGTATCTGCAGAACTACTTGTTAGGTTTAATGCTAGTCTTAATGGAGAGATTACTTTGAGCTAACTATCCAGGCAAAAGAGTCCCTGGAGTTCTTCGAACCTCTGATACTCTGATGGCTGGGAAGGAGTTGGGATTCTGGGCATCTTTGATGGGGTTAGGCTTGAATTTGGCTACTCAGTGTGATGGGACACAGTTAACCCTAATGTGATTCAGTCATTTGGACAACCTAGTTATAATTCCTTTCAGATATCAGGTTTAGAAACTTAGATATAATTTGGCTATAATTGTGTCTTCCCCCACCAACAGTTACATAGTTCATCTGGGCTGTCAGTTGAACTGAACATGTGAAATCAAACCAACCCTGCTTTTTCTTTTTGCAGTGCAGGGAATTGAACCTAGGGCCTCACACATATTAAGCATGAGCTCAGCTTACTGAGCTACATCTCCAGACCTGAAATCTCAGTTTTTAAATTTTACTTCTTGGTCTCTTAATAAAATCCAGCTATGTAGGGAGTAGACAATGGATGTTTGGGGGAATTTGTAGACCAAATAATCAGGAATGTGGTGTTTCCTTAATCCCTCACAGTGCCTGGAGATTGTCCCCTTTCATCCCCCCTCCCCCAGTCTGCCTACAGGCTCTAGCAGATCTTCCTGTTTTCTCTTTACCTTGAGTGAGCCTTTCTGCTTGTCATTGCATTCTCTAGGTGGTTTTGCCATTCCTGAGGGTCAGCACAGTCTCTGCTTTTAGAGACGTTAGACCACCTGCTACTGTTTTTTAGCTAGCTACCCAGAATGAAGATGAGAGATCAGAGGATAATTCTAGTACTGTGTGGCCAAGTGAAATGGAATGCTTAGCTTTTCATAATTGGTAAATAAGGAATCAGGCTTTCTCTGTGGGAGTGTTGAAGACTTGAGAATTGTGATAGTTCGTTTTGTTCTTTTATCATCTTTAGAAAGTTCCAAGTTTGTGTGTGCAGATGACATTGTGTTTTATTAGAGATGAAAGATAATATTCTTTAGGAGAAATAGATCTGTGGGTATGCAAGTGAGGGTATCTCCATTATTTTTTAAAATGAAAATTTCTAAAAATAAGGACACTTGTTTGAAGGTCATAGAAAGGATATCTTTTATTGGAAAATGGGATGTTGGGAACTTCTTCGAGGTATCTTTTTATTTTTTAAACTGATGTGACAGAGATTGGATCCCAGCATTTGGATTTTTTTCTTAAAATAACCATAGGGCCTTTAACTGCAGGGCTTTATTTCTCAGGGACAAGCTCCTCTCATTGTTCTTCAGGTCCTGTTTGCACCATTGCAATTTCTACAATTTCTTGTATGGACACAACCCTGAGAATTTTTTTTCCTTTCTAAAGTTTTCTTCTGTGGTAGATGAATAGTTCAGTTTTGAGATTTATAGCCTGTCTTAATTCCTCTTCCTCACACAATTCATTTAGGTCTTGAATGAAAGCCTCAGGGGTGACCTTCTAGCTTGCAGTGATTGCAGCTTCTTGCCTCATAGCTGAGAAACCAGGTCTTTCCTGTGTGCATTCTGTCCTATGAACAGAACTCCAAAGGATAAGGTATACCTCTCTGTCCTTTAAAGAGGAAGTGGTAGAGGATGTAATATGCCTGAGGGGGAGGGGTCATAGTTTCCATTCCCTTACCTTGTAGATGTACATAGGGTCTAGCATCTCTCTAAGTTTACTTTTTTTTTTTTTTTTTTCATACTACACAGTTATACCTTACACCAATCTGTCCCAGGGACAGATGGGTGTAGCAAAGGGGCATGCATGGGGCATAGAAGAGCTAAAACTGGTCCTGGCATTGATTATACTTTGATTTGGGCAAGGGTAAGCCACATAAAAATTCTTGAACATGTTTGCCCAACAGTAAAGTGGAGATGATGATCCTTTGTTGTGCCACCTTACAGGATTGTTATAAGGCCCAAGTGAGGTTGTGTGCATGAAAGTACTTTGAAAGTTGGAAAGTAATGTGAAAAGAGGGGAGATTACATTGGAGGAATTTTGTGAACTGCTTGCTCTTTGTAGGCTCTTGCTTGAATTGAGTCTCTTTCACCTTAATTGATCTAGGCTGAGAAATGGCTAGTGCTTGAGAGCTAAGCGTCAAAGGTGAGCAGTGGTGTTTGGTGAGCATGGGATGAGAACACTGAATAATTGAGTGATCCAGAAACCCTTTCTTTGTTTTGTCTGCTGGTTTAGTCTTAAAGTAGCTGTGAAGATTTTTATCCTGTGTTGCAGTTCATCTTTACTCTTTCTTTTCTCACCAGGGAGTTGGGTGAAGTGGCAGGGGGAAAAGGGAGAATGGGAAAAAGCCCTAGTCAAAGGTGACTCTTTGGGACAGTCAGAAGCTTTGTTATGTGGGAGCCAATATTTTATGACATACTCCTGGAGAGGAGGGTTTGGTGGCCTAGAGGTAACTGGCAACAGCTGGGTGCTGTTGTATCCAATTTGGGACCCATCTGGTAGCATGCCCTGCCCCCCTAATTGCTAACCCTCTGTCTGCTGCTTTATCAGACTACGCGTTTGTTCACATGGAGAAGGAAGCAGATGCCAAAGCCGCCATCGCGCAGCTCAACGGCAAAGAAGTGAAGGGCAAGCGCATCAACGTGGAACTCTCAACCAAGGGTCAGAAGAAGGGGCCTGGCCTGGCTATCCAGTCTGGGGACAAGACCAAGAAACCAGGGGCTGGGGATACGGCATTCCCTGGAACTGGTGGCTTCTCTGCCACCTTCGACTACCAACAGGCTTTTGGCAACAGCACTGGTGGCTTTGATGGGCAAGCCCGTCAGCCCACGCCACCCTTCTTTGGTCGCGACCGAAGCCCCCTGCGCCGTTCACCTCCCCGAGCCTCTTATGTGGCTCCTCTGACGGCCCAGCCAGCCACCTACCGGGCCCAGCCCTCAGTGTCGCTGGGAGCTGCCTACAGGGCCCAGCCTTCTGCCTCTTTGGGTGTCGGCTATCGGACTCAGCCCATGACAGCCCAGGCAGCCTCTTACCGCGCTCAGCCCTCTGTCTCCCTTGGGGCCCCATACAGGGGCCAGCTGGCTAGCCCTAGCTCCCAGTCTGCCGCAGCTTCTTCTCTCGGCCCATATGGTGGAGCCCAACCCTCAGCCTCAGCCCTCTCCTCCTATGGGGGTCAGGCAGCGGCAGCTTCTTCGCTCAACTCCTACGGGGCTCAGGGCTCCTCCCTTGCCTCCTATGGTAACCAGCCATCCTCTTATGGCGCCCAGGCTGCCTCTTCCTATGGGGTTCGTGCAGCTGCTTCCTCCTACAACACCCAGGGAGCAGCTTCCTCCCTAGGCTCCTACGGGGCTCAGGCTGCCTCCTATGGGGCCCAGTCTGCAGCCTCCTCGCTAGCTTATGGAGCCCAGGCAGCTTCTTACAATGCCCAGCCCTCGGCTTCTTACAATGCCCAGTCTGCCCCATATGCTGCACAGCAGGCTGCTTCCTACTCTTCCCAGCCTGCTGCTTATGTGGCACAGCCAGCCACAGCTGCTGCCTATGCCAGCCAGCCAGCCGCCTATGCTGCACAAGCCACTACCCCAATGGCTGGCTCTTATGGGGCCCAGCCAGTTGTCCAGACCCAACTGAATAGTTATGGGGCCCAAGCATCGATGGGCCTGTCAGGCTCCTATGGGGCTCAGTCGGCTGCTGCGGCCACTGGCTCCTATGGTGCCGCAGCTGCCTACGGGGCCCAGCCTTCTGCCACCCTGGCAGCTCCTTACCGCACTCAGTCATCAGCCTCATTGGCTGCTTCCTATGCTGCCCAGCAGCATCCCCAGGCTGCTGCCTCCTACCGTGGCCAGCCGGGCAATGCCTACGATGGGGCAGGTCAGCCGTCTGCAGCCTACCTGTCCATGTCCCAGGGGGCCGTTGCCAACGCCAACAGCACCCCGCCGCCCTATGAGCGTACCCGCCTCTCCCCACCCCGGGCCAGCTACGACGATCCCTACAAAAAGGCTGTCGCCATGTCGAAAAGGTACTGTATGCCCCCCCGCCTCTGCCCCCAGCTGGGGCTTAGGGCAAGGGGCTGAGGTTGGCATGGGAGGGGAATTTTAGGCCCCTCCCTCGGTCTTTTCTCCTTTACTCCTGTGGGGTGTGCAGAGGCCGAGGGGGGTCGGTGTCTGTGAACTTTTCTGGTCACCAGGGTTCAGGTGGAGCACAGCTCAGCCTGGGGTGGTACCAGTCAGGCTGGGAAAATGTCACCATTCTAGACTAGCCCAGGTGCCTTAGGAGCCACTGCCTGCAGGATTATGGCTCATACCCTTTCCCTATGTCTCAGGGATTCTTAAGCCTGTTACCTTGTTGTCCTGGTGTTGGTGGGGGTGGGCGTGAAAGAGTAGTCCTTTTGGCACTTAATGGCTGAAGGCAAGTTTATGAGATGCGTCCACACTCTGGGAAGTTGGGGACCTTGCTTTCATCCGCCGTTCTGTTGATAAACAACCAAAGTCTTTGTGTAGGACCCATGGGTGGGGATATTTTGTTTGTGGTTTGGGACTATAGACCAAAATTCACCTTGGCCACTTGGAAAGGAGGGCTTCAGTGGAGGGCTTGGTTTCCTAATGAGTTGAACCCAGGCTTGATTTCTTGGCCTGGATAGGGTGAAGAACCTTCTGACAAAAGGAAACCAAACTGTTGGAGACCAATCTGATCACACCCTCCCTGTCCCTATTGGCATCTCCCCCATGCCCATCTGGAGCCCTCCCCTCAATTGTCTCATTCACCAACTGTCTTCTTCTCTCGACTAGGTATGGTTCCGACCGGCGTTTAGCCGAGCTCTCTGATTACCGCCGTTTATCAGAGTCGCAGCTTTCGTTCCGCCGCTCGCCGACAAAGTCCTCGCTGGATTACCGTCGCCTGCCCGATGCCCATTCCGATTACGCACGCTATTCGGGCTCCTATAATGATTACCTGCGGGCAGCTCAGATGCACTCTGGCTACCAGCGCCGCATGTAGGGCCATCCTGGGGATGGGGCACCACGGGGAGGGAGGGAGAGGTAGGTAGGGTGCAGACCCAGGTTATAACCACTCTGGCCCATACCTCTCCCATTGTGGTTTTTCATCCCCTCCCTCTACCATGTGGGCCTTCCCCAGGAGACCATCCTTTTGAGTGTTTGGCAGTAACCTACTTTGTTCCTTCGCCTCAGCATCACATCTTGTTACTGGCTCTAGATCTGCGGTTTCCCCTCTACCCTGCCTCCCATCTCTCCAGAATGGGAATTACTTTTGTTTTTATTTTTTCCTGGCTCCCTTTTATTTTTGTGCGCGATATTTAAGGTCGTGTGGATGGGGAAGCAACCTGCAGCTGAGGTCGGCGGCGCCTTTTTCTTTTAGATGTGAGGGAGGCCAGGAAAGGGTTAGCTTAACCATTTCCTGTGCGCCAAGCTGTGCCAGCAGTCCAGGGGGCCCTGATTGTTCCTCTGTAGACTGTTGAGACTGAGATCCTATTGGGACAGTCAGTTGGTATGTGTCCAAATCCCTGCTCACCACTGATGTTCTAGCGATGGTGAGCAGCACAGTCCCAATTCCCCATCTCCCCAAGTAGGTGGTGTTAGAAAACCTTAATTTTCCCCCCTTTTGTATGGACTACAAATAAAACTTGGGGCGATTTGCAGTTTGGAAACCTGGTTGTCATTGTCTTGATTGCACTCAGTGTCAGAGGAGCCAGTTTGACATCCAGGAAGTCATGACAACTAAAGGGCAGGTAGCCTCAGAAACCAGGGTGGGTTTGGAACGGGGTTTGAATGTGGGAATTAGAATGATTTCTCTGCTGCCCAGTGGGATTTAGCTCATCGGCGTCCTACTAGCTTTCAGCCATCTTTAGGGCAGGAGAGTCCAGACCAAGTGGTTGGACTTCTTAGCCCTCAATTTGGTCACACCAAAATGCAGTAATATAATACCCATTTTCCTCTGCCTATGGTTGGCTATTTGCCCTGCCTTTTCTCCAGAAACAACCTGAGCTCCAGCAGGGTGGTTGTAGGGGTTGGCTTTTCTCGAATATTAAGTGGGGAATGGGCTGCTGTGGTGTTCACAAGGTGGGGTATATCCTTCAGACAGTTGGCTCTAATGAGCACCTGGGCTGGGACCTGGAAGGGAGCCATAGTCCGGTGGGGGTAATGTCCCTATCTGATGCTGCCCTGTGGTTGGAGAAAGGAGGGAACAGGGAAAATTTGAAGCAGTTGTGAGGCATTCTGGCCAGAGTGTCCTGGTACTTCGCCTGTTGAATTTCACCATGGAATGTCCTCCTGCATCCTGCCAACCCATCACAGCACCTGAGACTTCTTTGCCTGTGCCCATCTGTTAATGGTTTTCAGATGTCTTCTTGCTGGGTTTATATTTGGAGGTGTCATAACAGACTGGGAAGTGGGTGAGGTGCTAGTAAAATGAACTATGGGGATGCTGGAATTGGGTGAGAAATTGAGGATTCTGCCTATACTCTTACTCCAGAGCTGGGAGTTGAGGACCTGGGCAAAAAATATGACAATTTCAAGAGAGAACAAGATGGAGGCTTGGTAATGATGGGTGAATGAAATAAGACTGGCTGGATGGGTTTATATCAGGAAAACCTACTCATGCTCCTGTGGAAAGGGTGCTTTAAGAGATTTTTGACTTGGGAGGCTGCTAGGGCAAAGTTCACTGGGGAGGTATGTGTGTCAAGAAGAGTCCAGATGGGTTGTCTGCCTCCTTAGCGTCATATGAACATGCCTATGACAAGAGTAGTTTGCCCTCGATCTCCTCTTGCCTCTGCCAAATGTGCAAAAAAATAATATGGTTTTAAAACCATGAGCTTGTATTTGTGGATGCTAAATGGGGTCATTCAAGGGGGTACGGGGGCCATAGCTCTTTTCTTTGCTTCTCTTTCTGCTCATTGCTTTGCCTTTGGGTGCTTTGCTGCTCCTTTTTATTTCTTTGCAGGACTGGGGAAGAATGGGAAGAGAAGTTTCATAAGTTTCTTATTACTTTTCTGTGTGACGGTGGAATGATCTGAGGGCCATGCTAACAAGCTGACCTTTGATTAATTACCCTGGAAAATTGAGGGTCAATTATAGGGCTGTGATTGTGGCCTCTGTTATTTGCAATATTTCTTTGTCAATGTGGCTTTCTGTCATCTTCCTTTATCTTCAGTGAGAGTTCTGCCACTGTCTCAATCCCATGATTCCTGCAAAAAGCTTAATGTGCTTTCAGGGCCAGTGTTGAGGTTCTTTATTGCAGCCCCAACTCTTCAGAGTGACCTGGCCTATTTGATCACTCTTAACTTTGTCTGTCATTTTTAGGTCCTGATGCCCTTGTTGTCTCAGCCCTCAGGCTTTCAAGCCATAAGGAGCTACAAAGCTAAATCATTTTGTCATTTTCCTTTCTCTTGCAGATGTTTTAAAATCTCCCCTTTTTAAATTTAAATTGTACCATTTGTGTTAATCCCATATTGCACTCCTACTTTGATTTTTTTAAATTTGATTTCCAAGGTCCTATAACTTGGGAAAAGTTGGATTTAGTGAATGAGAGAAGGGACATTTGATGTATGTTTTAGGAAATGTGCTCTCAGTCTGTCTTCTGATCATTCAACTTTACACCTGTCACCTCTACAACTTTGCAGTCATTGGAGAAGTTTTAGTTGATTTATTCTTGGAACAAGGCCACATAGAGACTTCTAGCCTTGCCAGCTTTCTCTCTTGAGTTTGGACCTTGTTTTAAATTCTGTTTAGGGTGGGCCTGGGGCCCCATCTTTTGTAATGGAGGAATGGGACTATCACTGAGGGGCCAGTCTCTACAGGTAGGTTGCCTACTAGTCATAACCCCTAGTTAAGCTCTGGCAAAGTTCTTGCATAGTCTATTGGTTCTTCAGGCATTTTGTCCAGCCAAGTCAAGTCTGTGGACTCCCATGGTTGAGTGAAATCATAATGAAAATATATTCATTACTGGATTTATGGACGAGTATGCTGTGTAATAATAGGAATTTAGGTAATAGAGGAGGACAGCATATGGAAAATTTATACCTTTAAAAAGGTTATAAAATGGGATTTCAGGTTTAGCTGTAAATCATTTGAAATATCTGTCTATAATGCTTGAAATGCAGTGCTCAGGTAGCTGAGCTCTTGGTCTGACCTAGAGAAAGTTACAGTGTGGAAGTTTCAATGACCTACCTCGATGAAACAGTTAGTTAATAAGTAATGATAGACAAGTGATTAGGTTAGGAAGGAGAGGATGTGGTATCCCCAGTTGTTGGAGAATACTTTCTGGAGGTGGGACTTGATTTGAAAACCAGCTTTAACTACTGAGAGAATAAGACTTTTGTCTCAGGTTTCCTGAGTTTGAATCCTGGAGCTACCTTTTTGCCATGTGATTTTGGATGTCAGGAATTCTGCCTCCTTTTGGTCATCTAACATTTCACTGTAAAATGTTGAAAGTGCTTTTCAGGGCTGGGAATGTAGCTCAGTTGTTCAGAGCGCTTGCCTAGCATGCTCAAAGCCCTGTATTCAGTTCAGCAAACACAAAACAAACACACACAAAATGCTTTTTTGTGTTAATTAAGTCTTCATAACAACCGAAATACATTAGATATTTTTATAGGTTTTTGTTTTATTTTGATACTGGGGATTGAATCCAAGCATGCTTTACCAACTGTGCTATATCCCCAGTGCTTTTTATTTTTTGAGTCAGGGTCTTGCTGAATTGCTGAGGCTGGCCTTGAATTTTGTCTTCCTATCTCAGCCTCTTGAGTTGCTGGGATTATAGTTGAACACTAATGGGCCCAAGCTAGATATTTCTAAACTTACTTTATAAGAGGGGAAGTTGAGGCTATAGATTAAATAATTTTTCTTCAGCTCATATGTGGGTTCTACCCCCAGCACTGAAGATGGCTAACAAAGTGCTTGATCGAGGAATTGAACCACCATTTGAACCATCCAGGACTTTGCTTGTTATCTTTATGGTATGCTAGTGTAGAGAGAGGGTCAAATAAAAACGTGACAAATTCTCATTAAATGCTAGCCATCATAGATTGAGATGGCTATAGCACACAGCTCTGAGCAAAGACTTTGGATGAAGTTGTGAGTGCAGCACCTGAGTTACAGTGAAGGCAGTGAATTTTTATGAGTTATGCCTGGGATTGACTTAGGCCAATGGACTACACCAGTTTTGGCTACCTTTATTCTCTGGCAGTACTACTCTATGTTGGATAAGAAGAAAGGTTACTATGCATGGTTAAGAACTTTATAGGCGGCTAAGGATATATGGCTGGAGGGGGATTAGAGGCCTGAGAAGCCTGTTTTTGGTTGGCTTACTGGCTCCCTAGGACCATTCATAGAGAATTTGGGCATTTATCCTATCTGTAATTCATTTCTGGTCCAGGAACCAGAGTTTTTAAGAGTATAAATTGTAATTTTCACCCCTAAGGGTGTGAGGCTAATATAGATTATTTGTATCTAAGTTTTCACTGACATTACTGTTTACCCTTACATGTGGAATTTTGTCCATTTCCCTTTCAAAAGTCTAGGCTCATTTCTCATTTATATGCATGTAATATTATCCCTCCTGTTTAAGGTTTGCAGCCAGGTGCTTATTTATACATATGCTTTTGATAAAATGTCATTCTGGATGACTTGGGACAAGTTACTTTACCTTTTAGTAAATTGGTAGCCTGATCTGCAGTCCCCCACCTCCCTCCCAAATTAGCAAACTTGATCATCAAAATGTCTGGACATGGTAGTACAGGCCTATATAGACCACAGACTTGGGAATCAGGGGCTGAAGGATCACTTGAGCTCAGAAATTTAAGGTCAGTTTTACAACAAAAGTGAGAACCCCATCTTAAAAAAAAAAAAAAAAAGCCAGGCATGGTGGTGCATGCCTGTAATCCCAGCAGTTTAGAGGCTGAGGCAGAAGGATCGCAAGTTCAAAGACAGCCTCAGAAACTTAGGTCCTGACTCAAAAAATGAAAAGGACTGGAGATGTGGCTTAGTAGTTAGGTGCCCCCCAGGTTCAATCCTTGATACTAAACCAACCAAACAAAACCCGAATCACTAAAATGGTATCTACAATGTTCCAGACAAGGGTCTGTTAAACATTGTGTCATTCTCTCTCAGAGTGATGAATAAGGGATTAGTTGTCTCCCCCCACACACAATTTAAGCTGTATTTTCAGTAAAATAATAAACATAGATATGAAGACACTCAAGCTACAAACTTCTCTTCCCAAAGCTTCATTTGTCAAAGTGCTCAAAATCTCTTAGCATAGATTATCTCTGGCTTTTGGCCATCTACTTTTTGTTGAGGGAGATTGGAAAATTAGACTAGCTACTATGAATAAAGATACATCTTTTCAGTACTGATGAGTGTCCAGGATTTTGTTTTGTTTTTCCTCTTTGCAGTGTTAGGGATGGAACCCAGGTCCTTGCACATCCTGGGCAAAAACTTGAATGCTAAGCTACATCCTCAGCCTGGTTCAGGTTCTTAACCTAATACTGACTGGAAATCAAACTCACCTCCTTTTGGTAATCAAATTAACACATGCATTCGTTCTTTTATATTTTAACTTAGCAAATATTGGAGTGTCTTCAAGGTGCCAGGTGCAGTTTTAACATTGGGAATATGGTATGGAATAAGTATTTGCCAGGAACAGGAGAGGGACAGAAAATGAAAAGATAGAATTTCAAGCAGTAGCATTTGGAAAAATAGCATTGTGTTATGAGACAGTTGCAAGGCAAGGTTGGAGTAGAGGAAGCCTTTAAATGGGGGGGGGGGAATGAAGGATCTGCAGAAAGAATATTCAGTCTGAGCTTGGTACAATAAGGCTCTTGTGTCTAGACGGGGATAGTGATTAAACAGATTGAGAGATTCCAGGAAGAACTTGATTTGATAGGGTATTAGAGTCCAGGGAGAGGAGTTTGGATTTCCCTCCCAGTTGTAATTGGTTTTAAAAAGCCTGGGGATGTTTTAATTGGTTAGTTGGGTGACTTGCAAAAGCAAGTTATGACTAGATCTGGTGAGATTTCAGAAGGCAAATCCAGTAATTAGATTGAGTGTCCTTGGGTGTCTGTACACTGGCATGAATGGTGGTCCTAAAATGATGTCTCCAGCTGCAGATGTAGCTCAGCAGTAGAGCTTTTTGCTTGAGGCCCTGGGTTTGATCCGTATCACTGCAAACAAAAAACAACCCAAAAGATGAGTATTTCCTGTCTCAGATTTGTAGCGATTGAAGTGAGTTGACTTCATATTCTTTGGTACTCTAGAAGAAAGTTTTGTTTGCAGGGTTTCTGGAACACAAAAATTGGAAGATCACACTGAAAGGAGATGAGAGATGTGTATCTGTGTTGTGATTACCACCAAATGTTGGTCCCCTTGGAAAAGACATGTTCAACACACTTTAACTAGAATTGGTTTTCTTCATTACCAAACCTGTGGGTTAACAGTCTTGGTGGTGAATCACAGTCCAAGATGAGAAGGAACAAGATTAGTAACCACATTTCCAAAAGTCATGTTTTTGATTTTTAAGGACCTTGCCTTTTTCTACCCTAGAATAAGCTCCACCAGTTTTCTTCTGTTGGATTCCTGAATCATGTTGGGTTATAAAATCCACCTTTTTGTGTAGTACTCTGACTTCACCTTTTGCTTTACAAATTCCTTAATCTTGTTCTTTTGTGGCTGCTTTGGGTGGTAGTATATTCTGTTTGTGTCATCTCCACTCCTGATGATCCCTTTCGTCATCAACAATTCACTGCTTTGGCTTGTTTTGTTCATGTTTTAAGTTTTTACATCCAGCACTTGCATCCCCCTTTCCCCTTTAACTTCCTCTTCAAAAAAGCTGCTTTTGCAAAGGGTCTTGACTGAAGTTGCTTGCTTAATGAACAGGGGATCAAATGAAGCAGCCAAAGAAAGGGTGAGGAAGAAAATGTGATGAGGGAGTGAGATCCTGTGAAGAATGTTCTTGATTGTATTTGTTTACAGCTGATTGTGACAATGCTCTTCCCTCTAAGGTCGGTTGGGGTGGGGGGTGTTAAACCTACAGCTCTGGTTGATGGCACCCAATAAAATAAAACAACAACAACAAAAAAACTTTGCTGCTCCCGTTTTTTCTTAGGGAGGGGGTGTGGGGGTGTGTTTCATTTGGATCCTGGGAGGCTGCTTGCTAGAGGGAACTTGGTCTCCCCTCATGGATGGTGCTGCCTCTGGCCGGCCTACGTTTGGGCCATCACACCTGGTCAAGCGGGACCTACAGACTGTTGCAGAGTTCCTTTCACTGCCTACAAGTAGTTTTAAATTTGCGGGCAGCTTCGGGGCTTTCAGGGCTACAGTGCGAGTTACTAGCCTGAGAAGGTTGATTTTCTCGGGTGGGAGTCCTCGCTGTTTTCTTACCTGGCGCTGTGTCTGAGTAAGCTACTGTCCACAGCATCCAGGATGCGAGGTGGGTGGCGTTTGGGAGTTTAGAGGGGGAAACTTGGAGTAGGGGACAAAGTGGAGTGCAGAATGCTTTCGCGTTGTGCACATGGAAGTGTCGAAACGTGGAAGCTTAACAAAGTTGGCGCCATGAAGCTACCGACTGCCACACCGGGGCCCTCGCTCACTCCGCCTAATGGCGGGCCGCCAGTCGCCGGTGAAACCCACGTTTGTGGTTCCTCCCTCAAGCCGACCTCTTACCCAATCAGTGGCTTCGGCTTCTCAATGTTGGTGCTCATTGGCTTTTGCATAAAAGCTCTGGGGTTACTGACGTTTCCACCTCTTCCCGGCCTCTCAGGTAATTGGCGTTCGCGGTAACCAATCAAGAGGAGGATCTTCGGGAACGCCTGCCATTTACTTTATTGAACGACCAATCCGGTGGATAGGTCACCTCCCCCTCTCTACCCAGAGTCACTGCTGCGGCCGCCGCCATTTTAGCGTTTTGTCAGAAGCGTCCGTGCCGCGAGGAAGAGGCCCTCCCGATTTCTGTGCGGTGAGAGACTCCGAGCCCTTCCACTTTCTTTCCTTTGCTTTGTAAGATCTTGTCTCATTACCTTGGGCGTCGGGGGTGTCCTGGTTGGGTCGCGGCCTGCGCGCCCGTCACTGAGAGACGACCTCGGTCCTCGGCATTGCGCGGTAAGCCTGAAGCAGCCCTTCCCCCAATACCTCCCGCCCGAGAATACCTGGCTTTCCCCCACCCTGCCCCCTACCCTACTTGGCTCGGCTTCCTGCCGCGAAGTTTTCTTTGAGATAACCCCATTGTCCTTAGATGGAGCATTTGCAAGCCCGTCTTGAGAGTTTCTCAGGACCTGGGACATTGTTGACTGGTTAATGAACCTGAAGCCCCCCTCTGGCCAGGCATTTCTCCATTCTGCAGGCGCTTGTAGGCTGGTACCTTCAGAGAGGCGTTCCCCACTCGGACGCTTTTCCGGTACTCTGCACGCCGCGCTATCTGGTCTCATTCCCGCCTTCGTTACTTCTAAAGGAAGGTCCTAAACAGCTATTCCAAAGCCCACTTTTCCGGAAATGGTGGCTGCTAATGTTACTGCGGGAGGAAGAGCCAAATTGTAGTTGCAGGCAATCAACCAACAAGCCCAGTAGTTAGATTTCTGTCGTGTGATTGACCACCTAGTGGGCAGAAAAGCTCAGTATCCCCAGGTGTCCATTTATTTTCACTTTTATTCGCATTCTTTGAAGGTATCTAACTCTTAAACTCTTTAACTACTAAGGACCTGTTAGACGTGTTCTCATTCCTAGAGGTTCTCAGGCGGGTTCCTTAGCAGGCCTATTTACTTCACTCCCATTTCCTTTTGATTACTGTGTGGAGATGAGTGTGAAACAAAATTGGAAACATATGCTAGTGAAGGAAGATGGCAGTGGTGAGGCCCCCCCCCCCCCAATTAACCTAAGGTCTTTTGTTAGAAATTTTGTTTCTTCTTTCTCAGGCTGTATCGAGATGGTGAAGCTGTTCATTGGAAACCTGCCCCGGGAGGCCACAGAGCAAGAGATCCGCTCACTCTTCGAGCAGTATGGGAAGGTGCTGGAATGTGACATCATTAAGAACTACGGCTTTGTACACATAGAGGACAAAACTGCAGCTGAGGATGCCATACGCAACCTGCATCACTACAAGCTTCATGGGGTGAATATTAATGTGGAAGCCAGCAAGAATAAGAGTAAAACCTCAACAAAGTTGCATGTGGGCAACATCAGCCCCACCTGCACCAACAAGGAGCTTCGGGCCAAGTTTGAGGAATATGGTCCAGTCATTGAATGTGACATCGTGAAAGATTATGCCTTTGTACACATGGAACGGGCAGAGGATGCAGTGGAGGCCATCAGGGGCCTTGATAACACAGAGTTTCAAGGTGAACCACTGTCTTTGGGTAGAGAGCTGAACACAAGGCTCTGTGCAGAAAAATGTTGGGTAAATAAAAGGAGAGTTTGGGGGTAGAGATAACAGCTGTTGCTTGGTTGGTGATGATGGATTTAAGTATGGGTGAGGCACTTAAAATGAAATGGAAAATGCATGAGTTTTAAGGGCTTTATCTTAGGCAAAGAAAGTCTCCTGGGAAAAACTTGGTTTTCATTTGGAACCCCTAAGGCTTTTGTGCCTCTCAATATAGAAATCCTTTTCTTTTGAAGACTTCTAGTTATTGTGTCGTTTTCTTCTTTTAGTAGCAGGGCACATTGTAGAGAATTTCACTGTGTTGCCTCAGCACCACAGTATCACCATGATGCCTTATTTGACATAAGAAGAACTAGTTAAAGCAACAGTTTAGGGCAGAATTCCTATTAAACTCCCCACCTTACCCCAGCTTTTACCTTTACAGTAACCATAACTAGTTGGGTTTTTTTTTTTTTTTTTTTTTTAGTTGTAGTTGGACACAATACCTTTATTTT